GTGTGTTTTGTGAGATGGAGGAGAACTTTGTGGATTGGTGTTGGACATATGGGTTAATGTTGGACTTGTGGGCTTGGGCAGCACTGGGTTGGGATGCTTTCTTAATATGCACTTAACCTTTATACAAAACTCTCTCATACATATGAGTTTCTGTGAATTTGTTTCTCTAAAGCACCCAATACTAACACAGTGGGCGTCATCATTTTTCTGGGTAGTGTCTATGTTGTGTTGTTGGCCTGTGAACCACAACATCAGTAGATTGAAAACACACACTAGCTGCTCTGCAGGTGACAGACTGGGCTTTCAACTTGCACAGAGTTACAGCCTGACACTCACAGTGGCAGGTCGACCCTGTCCTGCTGGGTCCCCGTGAGTCGGAACTGATTGCATGGTGGTGAGTTTGAGTTTGAGGGGCAGTGCTGGCTCCCTGGGGCTGTGCATCTGGAGCTTTGCCGATGAGGGGTTTGGTTTGGGGTTTGGTCCACCGTCTGGAGCAGCGTGTGTGGAGATGAAGCTCCAGGGAAGCCACCAGGTGTTTCAAACCACGCCATCCCCCCAACGCCGGAGTGGACCGCTCACCAGGCAGCATGTCCTCTGCCTTCGGAGGACACAGCAGAAATGCTATGAGAAAGTTCTACCTTGATTGTCTCGCGCCGTCCCCTCTAGGATAGCAAGACAAACTCAACCTGACTCAACAGCGTGGGCATTCTAAGGAGACCTAGTGCTTTTCTCTGCCCTGTAATGTGAATTTTCCCGGGGTTACTAAAGACGCTTCCCCAAACGAATGCTCCCAAGGTTATATAAAATGGACTTGAAACTAGTGTCTTAAGGAAAAGGCAAGCAAGAGTCAGATGAGCTGGGGAAGCCGAGGGTTGGAGGGGGCTCCCCTTGCTGGGTAAAGTAGAGGGGCAGCAAAACAAGAGGAAGTCCTCGACAGGATGGATGGACACAGTGGCTGCCATGATAGCTTCGAACGTAACACATGGGAGGAGGGGGCAGGGCCAGTGCTGCATTTGGTTGTGGGGGTTGTCTCGGGGAATCGGAACCACCTCGATAGGACCTAACAACAACTACCACCCCTGGTGCGGGGCCCCTGAAACTTTCAGTGGGCTGTGCTGTCTTGTGAACGTCCCAGAGGGACCACAGGAAGCTGCCTTGTTACGTGTGCCTGCGTTTTTATAAACCTCTTACAGGAGGGTTCAGAGAACACAGTATGAGAGACACTGTTAGGGACTCTAATAACTCTCAAAGCCATCCCTTCGAATGCTGTGGAAGTGACACAGAGACAAGGCTGAGTCCCCTCCATCCAGAAGCCCACACATCCCCGTCCTGCTCACGGACACGCTCCTCTTCTTGAAGTTGCAGATGACTCGTGACAAGAGGCACAGCGACCTCCCATTCAAATCCCTTTACAGGTCAAAGAGAGCTCATTGCCAAGGCAGCCTCTTGAAACCTGAATGAATCTTTCTAAGACAGCGGAAAAAATACACCACTTTTTTCATAAGGTTGTTGCCATACTAACTCCCTAGAATGAGAAGTCGTCGAGCTGGCAGCCATAGTATGGCTGGGGTCACCTTCTGTGATTGAATTGTGCCCCCAAAACATATGCTGGGAAACCTAACCCCCTATTCCTGCGGCTCGAATTCCATTTGGGACTCTAGTTTCTTTGTTACAGTCCTGAGACAGGATTCGTGGAGGGTGCGTCTTAAAACAATTCCTTTGGAGACACTAAAGAGCAGATTCAGTGCTGGGAAGCACACGCGGTTGCAGAAAGAGAAATGTCGTGCCCCGTGAAGGAATGCTATGCCAAGGTGCTGAGGAAAGCGATAGATGCTGAACAGAGACGTGAGCCAACAGAGAGCAAGGGCAAGAGAGAGAAGAGGGGGAGAGATAGAGACGGAGACAGAGAGTGCCTTCCCCTAGAGGTGGCATCTTGAATTTGGACTTCTAGACTCCCAGACTGTGAGAAAACACTTTTCTGTTTGTTAAAGTCACCCACTCGTGGTGTTCCAGTTCTAGCAGCCCCAGTGGGTGAGACCGGGGATCTGGCTCCCCTGCTCCCTGCATCCATCCCTGGTGGGTGAGCAGCTCTGCTCCCACTCTGAATTCCGTCATCTTGGGATTCCCCCAGAGGAGACTGTTTCCAGTGGTGACACATGGCTTTTCTCAACACTGCAAACAATGTCTCGGAGAGGCTCAAGCAGAGGATGAGGAGCGAGGTACCACCTTCCTGACAGGAGCACACTGTCACCCAACCTGACCAGGCAGGGAGGCAGCGCTGTAAAGGGCTGGACAGGTCACCTCCTGCCACTGGTGTATCTCAGAAATGTGTGTAAACTCACTGCCATCGAGTCCATTGACAGGTGCAATTAGTTAACATGCAGTCATACGGACACAAGGTGGGTCCTAATCCAATATGGGTGTCTTCCTGATTAACAAAAAAGTTTCACAGTGACCCAGATATAGACAGGCATACACAACACACACACACACACACACACACACACACACACACACACACACACGAAAGGCAGCATGTGACCACAAAGGCAGAGGAGATGGGAGGGATGCGGCCACAAGC